TCACGTAACTACAAGGTTACCATTCAAGGCAAACCACTCCGGGGCTGAAAGGATCGGGGGTCTCCCCGGGGTTAAAAAAAAAAAGTCAAGAGGTTGCCTGTTTACATCACCTGAACAAAATGGCGGAGCTTTGACAGCCGCCGTGGATTGTACAGCCACGTGTTTCCGATCCCTTTGAGAAAACCCATTTCTAGATTTTTTTTTTTTTTGAAGTTTGGAAATCCAGAAACGAAGCTTGTTTCGTGCTCCGGAGCTCCGGTGCTTTGAGCATTTCCCCTGGCACTCATGCCCAGCGTCACACTGTCACCATGGTGACGCCTTCGCTTGGCAGGTGTTTTCTAGGCTGCAAACCCCTGGCAGCTGCAAAGCAGGGCAGGGAAAGGGGTGGGGGGCTTATGAACCCCATGATGCCAGCAGCTCTTTCGAATTCTGCTGCAAGGGTTTTGTGGCACAAAGGAAAGCTTTGAGAGAGGGAGAATGGGGGGGTGAGTGGGACCCAAGAGCTGCCCCCTCCACTTCCTCAAAGTCAGGATAGGCTGCCTGGGGGGGGGGCGGGGAGGAAAAGGGCTCAGACTCACAGGAGCTCCCATCCTACCTCCCCCATCTAAAAAGCCTGGGGTTGCTACAGAAGGGGGTGGCGTGGTTTTTTTTTTTTTTTTTTTTAACCCTGGCCACTTTAAGGTGTGCGGAGTTCAACTCCCAGAATTCCCTAGACGGTACAGGTAACCTTCGAGTCTCAGCCACCAAATTTCTACTGCTAAGCAAGACCGTGGTGAAGTGAGTTTTGCCCATTTTACGACCTTTCTTGCCACAGTTGTTAACCAAATCACTGCAAGTCGTTCAGCGAATCTGGCTTCCCCGTGGACTTCGCTCATTGGAGGTTTGCGCAAGAGGCTCACCTGGCCTTGGGACGGCCACAAAAAAATGTGCCACTTGCCAAGCCTCTGAATTTTGATCAGGTGGCTGTGGGTCCTAAGGGCGGAAAAAAAACGCACCCGAGTCACTTTTTTTTTTTTAGTGCCGTTGTAACTTTAAACAGTCACTAAATGAACTGTCGTATCTCAAGGGCTACCTGTATGTTTTTAAGACCATCCAAGATTAGCTAAGTGGCATCTCTTGCTGTAGGCTCAATGTCCGATTCTGAAATCTTTACACAAATCTCTCCGTTTTAGGGAACATCAGGCCAGGTTTGCAAAAAGCCAAAAAGAAAGAACATCGGTCGCTAACACTCCAGGTTTCCTGCTGCCTGGGGACAACAATCCTTCCTGACTTTTCTCTCCTTCCACGACAGGGGCTTCGGCTGACGGTGGAACAGTTTAGGGTCCCCCAAAGGCAGATTCTCAGTGACCTGAACAGTAAGTCCCTTTTTCTTCCGCTGCGGATCCTTGGTGAGAGATTTTTTCCCCACCAATATAACCTTTTGTTTCAACCTCCTTTTACCGGTCCACCATAGAAAGCATCCTCACATATTGCGTGACGGTGTGGTATGCTGGCTTGACAGCCGCGGATAGAAAGACGCTACAGAGGGTGGTGAGCCCAGCACAAAACATCGTGGGCTGTTCCCTGACACCACTAGATGACCTCACTAGGGCTCGTTGCCTTGGAAGAGTGAGGAAAATCCTCAGGGACGACTCGTACCCCGGTCAGCCCTTCTTCACTCTCCTACCATCGAGTAGGAGATAGAGAAGCAGAGCCAGCCACACCAACAGGCTGAAGAACAGTTTCCACCCTTGGGCTGTCAGACTCCTGAACAGAAACTAATTTCATGTCAACAGAGTAGGATAGACTTGCAGGGCCGGTGAGTTGTGCAACAAGGTCACCTAGTGTAGTAAGATTGGATCTGGGTTAGGGACTTCTGTCCTCACTGTGAGTTGTGTTGGGTGTGTGTGTGTGTGTGTGCGCGCGCGAAGGGAGGCTCAGCCAATCTCATTGTACACATGTTGTCCTCTGACAATAAAGGTAATAATAATAATTGTTGTTTTGGGGTCAGTGGCATCAACATACAACATGTGTAATGCAGCCCCATCTGCTTTTTGCAAACAAAAGTCCAGGTGTTTTCCAAAGGGAACGGTTTATTTTTGGCCCCGAGTGAATGCCTTGGGGTTGAATGGGAAGAATGGGGGATTAATGCTGTATGAACCACCGCGGTCCAATCTCTTTTCCCAACCATCCAATTTCATCAAAAGGCAGAAGCAGCTCAGATTCAGCAAGCGAAAAAGAAAGAGCCGTGGAATTGTTTAGCTGGCATATCAAGCTTCCCTTGATCAGAGAGCCGATTAGTTTCCCAGGCTTAAAAATAAAGCAGGAACCTATTATTTTTCCAGGACTGGCAGGATTTTATCTCTTTTCCAAATGACCGAATTAATGTCCATCACGAGGTAGAGAAGTTTTTAAAAGCCTGCCGTCAGATTGTTTAAAGTAATAGCCGTTGTGTGCAACGCGAAGCAACAACAATGCCACCAAAGTAAAAAGTTGCGTAATTTCAAGCAAATACCCACCACCGTAATGCCTAGAAACCGGTGTTTAAAATGATTCAAAATGATGTTCATGATGTGCGTTGTGCCTAGTTCAGGAGTTGCATGATACAGTGGGAGATGAGCATGAGTTTGGGAGGCACGTGGCTCCTGTCCCAAATGGGAGATGGGTGGGAGATGCATTTTTCCCCCCTGGAGATTTCACCCGAGGTGGTGTTGTGCCTTGCAGATATTAGCTGGAACATTGGCAGCACCATTCACTTTCTGCTGAAGGAAACCGTGTCTTCTGCTATGGCTGCCCTCAAGGGCAGGGTGCAAGGTAAGAAAAAGTCTTTCCTTTTCCTTCGTTTCTTTTCCTTAATGCTACGCAGTCTTGTAATAGGTAGAAGAAATAATCTTGAGGAACAAGAGGGAGAATCACAATGAAGACAGTGGTAGATAAGAGCAATCTGAGTCTTGAGTAGAAATGTAATTGGAGCCTCTCCTCTTTCTCACCAATAAGTGAGATAATTACAGTATATTAATGACAATGAATAAAAGTTGGAATTCATCTCCCTGATTTCTGGTCTTGTCTTCCTTGGAGGGCTGATAGCAACTTAGCTTAACCCAATGCTTCTTACAAGGATGGCAGGAACGGCTCCTTAGTGTGCCTTGGCTGGCTAGGAACTCTGGGAGTTGTAGTTCGACGCACCTGCTGAGCATCGGACCAGGGAAAGTGGGTTTAGTTTGGCTACACCAGGACTCACTCAAGGCAACTCTTCCAGCCACCCTCTTGGATAGGGACGACCCCTCTCCCAATTTGCATGGTTAACAGTGGGAACATTTTTCGGGAAAGAGAATAAAAAGGGCCGGAGCCACTTAACCGTGGGATATTTTCAGAGAAGACAATTAAAGGGTCTGGAGCCGCTTCTAATGGGAAAAATACGGCAGCATCTTCTTGGAGAGAAGGTGGATAAAAGGAGACAGCGCACAGATAGGTAAAATAGGGGCCCAGAGCACTTTCTCTTTCTGTCTCTTTTGCAACTCGGGGGCACTCATTAAAACTCCAAAGAGAGATGCCAGACAGATAAATGAAAGGGCAACTCGGAGTTAAGCCTAGGGAGTTTGCTGTCATCAGATGTGAGGGTAGCCTGGGGGTGGCCTTGGCAGGAGCTTATTAGGATGGATCAGGGCTGCACGTTCAAAGGATCAAAGGATTGTACAAGAAGTGCCAGCTGTTAGGAAGTCAGCTTTTCATGCCTTTCACCTGCTGTCCCGTGCTTGTCAGGTCCTTTTAACGCATGTGCCCCCTGGGCTGGAGAGATCCAAAAGGGAGTAATATATAGGTGTGTGTCAAAGCGGCAGCTGTAGCCATGCCATTAAAGCTCTTTTAAAAACCCTTCTGAGTTCTTTTGACACGGAAACCACGAGTAGGTGCCACTGTTTCAGCACGAAATTTGTAAGCCTCGCTGTAGAACGGCCACCCTTGCAGCTCACGGTAGCCAATTCCAAGCGGAGCTCTTAGAAGGAAAAAACGAATACGGCTATTCCTCAGTTTGCAACCATTTATTTGCTGACCGCTCAAAAGTTAACAACTGCACTGGAAAAAAAAGGGGACTTGTGACCTAGCAGCATCCCCACAGTTACGGGATTAAATTTCAGACGCTTGGCCGCTGACTCATACTTACAATGGTTACAGTGTCCCGGGGCCTTGCGGTCCCCTTTGGCGACCTTCCCACCAGCGAAGTCCTTGGGGAAGCCAGATTCACTCAACGAATGAATGCAGGGATTCACTTAACAACGGTGGCAAGAAAGGTTGTAAAATGGAGGAAAAAATTCACTTAATGAATGTGTCAGCTCATAAAATATTTCTATGGTCTTTTTAGAGTTGCCAACAGAAAGAGAGCGGGGGAACAGTGGACAACTTGCATTCCATAAATGTTTTCAAAGATAGTTTCTAGGTGATTGAAGTTTCTGCCACGCAAAATTCTATAACATGATTGATGACTCTGGGCTATGGATGTGTCTCGTTGGAGAATATGATTTATGATACACCCAGGGAGTGGGGGGAAAACCAGGGTCAAGGGTGATAATGAATGATGTGTCTTAGAGTTGGCTACACCCAGGCAGTGCCGGACATGTTAACTCCCAATAAATTCTTTTGAAGTTTTGGAAGTTTGGCTCGAGAGGTTGATTTAATTTGGGGGTTACTGCTGGAATCCTGACAGAATGTCTTTCTTAGCAGCAGAACTTTTGGCTCAGTTGTGGTCATAATTCAAGGACTACTAGATGGGATCAGGTCTATTGACTTTACATGCATAACTTGCTTCAATTCATATTGACTCCTGATCCCACAGAATATTTTAGATCAGGGGTCTCCAACCTTGGCAACCTGAATAAATTGGTGTCATCAGCAAAATAGAGGAAGGGCTGAAGATGTCAGACACAGCTACTATTCAAGTAGTTCTTGACTTACAAGAGTTCACTTACTGACTGTCTGAAGTTAGAACAGCACTGAAAACATTATTTATGACCATTTTTCACACTTGGGACCATTGCAGCAAGCAAAGTCAACGGGGAAGCCAGATTCTATTATCAACCATGTTATGAATTTAACCACTGACATGATTCACTTAACGACTGCAGCAAGAAAGGTTGTAAAACGGGGCAAAACCCGCTTCACAACTCTCTCGTTTAGCAGCAGAACGTTTGGGCTCGGTTGTGGTTGTAAGTGACGGATTCCCTGTAGAGGTTAATTGGCTAGCATGGAATTTGTGATAGCTTGGCGTGAAAACATCCGGACATCCCATCTCCTGGGTGACTTTTCTCTTTAAGACCTAGAGAACTCCGTGCGCCACTTGCATGCGATCCACGGGTCTGTCCAGGCCCTGATCTGGGAGCAGGACGAGCTGGCGTCGGCGCTGAAGGAGCAGAAGCGAAGCCTCACTTCCCTCCTGGAAGAGCCCCATTGCACGTACTGCATGGGGGTCCTCAGCAGAGCTCAGGACTTGAAGTTGGGGGCTGACTTCCAAAACGTAAGCCAATCCAGATCCTGGCGGCACCCAAACGAGAATGACGCATCCCAGTGGTGGGATTCAGAATTTTTTTTACTCCTGGTTCTGTGGGTGTGGCTTAGTGGGCGTGGCTTGGTGGGCGTGGCAGGGGAAGGATACCGCAAAATCCCCATTTCCCTTCCCTCCCCACCAACCTGCTTTCCAGCTCCGTTCTCCTGGGCAGGGCAACCAAAGGAGACCCAGCCAACCAGCTGGGACTCAATGGGAGGCAGGGAATAGATGGAGGTGGGGCCAGCCAGAGGTGGGAGTGGCTGGTTCTCCAAACTACTCAACATTTCCACGACTGGTTCTCCAGAACTGGTCAGAACCTTCTGAATCCCACCTCTGGTGCATCCATCCAAAACTCTCTTGGAAAAATGAACTGGTTAAGGGACATGCTTCTGGGATGAAATGGGCCTTGTTGTACTGTACAACAAGGTATCAATAGGTTGGCTTGAATCTTCAACCTCTGAGGTCTCCTGGTCCAACCCTCTGCTGAAGCAGGAGACCCTAAACCAGGGGTGTCCAACCTTGGCAACTTTAAGACTTGTGGACTTCAACTCCCAGCAAAGCTGGCTGAGGAATTCTGGGAGTTGAAGTCCACAAGTCTTAAAGTTGCCAAGGTTGGACACCCCTGCCCTAAACCATTTCAGACAACAAGTCCAGCCTCTTCTTAAAAACCTCCAGTGAAGAAGCAACCACCATTTCTGAAGTTCCACTGGTTAATTGTCTTCACTGTTAGGAAACTTTTTCCTTAACTCCAGGTTGCTTCTATCCTTGATTAGTTTCCCATCCCTTGTTTCTTGTCCTGCCCTCTGGAGCTTTGTAGAATAATTTGACCCCTTCCTCTTCTTTGGGGCAGCCCCTCAAATATTTAAAGTTCTGCTATCATGTCAACCCTAATTCTTCTTTCCTTTAGACTAGCCAAACCCAAAACCTGCAGCCGTCCTTCATATGTTTTAGTCTCCAGATCTTTAATCATCTCAGTTGCTCTTCTCTGCACTTTTTCTAAAGTCTAAACACCTTTTTTGTAGTATGGGGGCCAAAACGGGATGCAGTATTCCAGGTGTGGTCTTCCCAAGGTACTAAAGTGGTAGTGATACGGCACATGATTTTGATTCTATCCATCTGTATTGTGCCAGAGGTCTCCAAACTTGGCAACTTTAAGTCTTCACTTAAAGCTATGCTGGGTGGAGAATTCTGGGAGTTGAAATCCACAAGTCTTCAAGTTGCCAAGTTTAGGGACCCCTGGTTTATGCCATAAAGGATTGCACTGACATTTTTGGCTGTTGCAGCACACCGCTGGCTCATATTTAAGCCAGATTTAGGCTGTGATTGCTTTCCATGTCAATACTGTTTTATATATTGTCACTTTGATCTTGGATCCCAGGGATTAATCTTTGACAAACCATGTCTTTCTTCAGGTGCCTTCTGTTGAAAAAGTTTTGAAAAATTTGCACGGGCTGCCTCAGACGAATTTCTCTGAAATGATTCAGAAAGTAAGTGAGGAAGGATTCTTGAAGGGGTCTCCTTTCAGCAAAACGCACATTTTTGTCTCCAATTTCACTGTTAAAAATATGATTTTTACACTTCTAGGCCAACAACAGTTTCAATGCAATTCCACAATTTACAGTAATGAAAATGGATAAAGTTGTTCAAGGTGAGTGAAGTTTTTCCAGGAAAAAAAATAACCCGAATTCACACCATGGCATCCGGAGTGTGTCAAAAAATGTCACGTTGGATGCCAGGAACAGACAATTTGAATTATGATGATGATTAGACTAGACTAGAGTAGGAGCTGGAAGGGACCTTGGAGGTCATCTAGTCCAGCCCCCTGCCCAAGCCGGAGAATCTATACCATTTCAGATAAGTGACTGTCTAGTCTCTTCTTAAGAACTTCCCAGTGATGGAGTGGCCACAATTTCTGAAGGCAACTTCTGTCCCACTGGTCAGTTGTCCTCACTGTCAGGAAGTGCCTCCTTAATTCCAGGTTGGTTTTCTCCTGGATCAGTTTCCAATCATTGTTTCTTGTCCTGCCTTCTGGTGCTTTGGAGAATAGCTTGACCCCCATCTTCTTTGTGGCAGCCCCTCAAATACTGGAATACTCCTATCATGTCACCCCTAGTCCTTGTTTTCTTTAGATTAGCCAGACCCAAATTCTGCAGCCGTTCTTCATATGCTTTAATCTCCAGGCCTTTGATCCTCTTAGTTGCTCTTCTTTTTTTCCCCCAAAGTCTCAACCTCTTTTTTGTAGAGTAGTGTAGCTTCTGGAGGAAGGACTGGAGAAGGTCTCTAGCACCTAGGTCCTAGGTAAATCAGATAGGAAGACTCCACAATGTACCATCGTAACCGTAAGTGCCCGGTGGATGCTCTGGCAATCGCGGTTTCTCTGCGCAAACGATGTAAAATCTGCATCGGGCATGTTTTGGCACGAGGACCATGGTGACCCCTTGCATGGTGGAGGCCGTGGATGGCAACCCTTCGCTTTCCTTGCAGAGCTGAAGAAGGACGTCGAGAGAGTTGCCCAAAAGGTCCACTTGGTTGCAGACGACTTCCCCATCTCTGACCAGACCCGTCCCATGAACGAGGCCTTGGCGAAGGCAGAGAATATGAGCCGCCCTTTCCTGAAGGAGGTGAAGCCTTTTGAGACCTACAGGTAAAAGGGGAGAGCCAGGCAGAGAAGATACTTGGCAAACATTTATCTGACCAGAAACCCAACACTCCTAACATTGGAAGGGATGGAGAATGCTGGTGAATGGAGCAGTAATGTAATATGGGCAGAGCTACACCGCACATTTGACCAGCCTGGGCAGAAAATTTCCTTTCCCCCTGGTGTTGCAGGAAAGGAGATTTAGGAGGGCTCATTTTTATTTTTTTCGTAAATTTTATTGGTTTTTAAAAACAAACATAAACAAACAAAACATCAAAACATCAAACTTTCTTCCATAGGTATACAAACAGTGTGCCGGTTGGTTTACAAATCATTTTGTGCATCCATTTTGTAGTCTTCAATTACAGTTACATTACATAAAATCCATCAAAACTTAGATACCCTAATATCATTATTAATCAATCATTTGACTATAGTTTTATTCATTCATATTTTACGAGATAACCATAATTTACTTAGTTTGTTTTATAACAATTCATATTATCCTCCCAAATCTATCCTAAAAACAGGAGGTCTCATTTTTTAAAGGCGTATTCTATGCTTTCTGGTGTTCCTTCCTTTGACTTATTTATTTGTATCCCACCTTTATTAGCATTTCTATATAGAAATACTAATAAAGGTGGGATTCAAATAAATAAATGATCGGACTAGAACTTTGGGCACTGCAAAAAGGGGTTGGAGTATCAGGCTGTCCAAGGAGGAGACCCAAGACAGAGAAAATCATCCTGAGATCTTGTGGGAGGACCCACTGTTGATACAGGGTTGTGCATGAAAACCTTCCATTGACCACAACAGTTCCAAAGACTTTCATATACGCACAAATATTTCAACTGATTTATTAGAACAGAACAGAACTCTTTATTGGCCAAGTGTGACTGGACACACGAGGAATTTATTTTCAGTGCACATAAAACTCTCAGTGCACATAAAAGCTATAAGTGATCAATCATGATTCTAGTCATCAAGCAGGTTTTGACTACAATAGCATCCCAATTGGCAGATTTTTCTGTCCCTCACCTGTCCCTCAAGTCTTCCAACATTGTACCAGTTGCCAATATAACGAAGTACAAGTGTTAGAGGGTGTAAATATTTTGCCTTGGGTAGCCAGAAGCAGGAGGGCAGGAAGGTCCCAAGAAGTAAAGCCTTGATGGCTTCAACCGTGGGTCCACAGAGGCCATCTAGACTTTTCTTAAGGACACAAACACCATGGATGCCAAGCCTGTAAAACACCCCTTGCATTCACCCACCCAGTTTAAACATTTCTAATTGAACTGAAGCCAGCACACCACGTTTCTGGCGGATGCGTTGAGAACGGACTCAGAGCCTGAAGTTGTCTCCTTCCTTTTTTTTTGTCTTGGCCAGGTGGATTGTAGGTACAATAGCATGCACAATTGTCCTGCTGATTGTCTTCTGTAATGTTCTGGGCCTTTCCTTTGGCACTTATGGCTTGGTGGTGCGAGAGGATCCCAGTGACTACGAGAGCCGGGCTGAAGCTGGAGCCAAATTTCTCATCATGTAAGAACTCTTGGACGTCCACTCTATCCGTAAAGGAGAATGTTTGTAGCGCAGGGTTGAAGTGAGGGCTCCTTGGTGATCTCTGAGCTGGGTGGTTTTCTGGCAGATGTTTCACTAACCACCAGCAACACCTCCCTACCAGCGGTGGGATTCAAGTTTTTTTTACTACCGGTTCTGTGGGCGTGGTTCTGTGGGCGTGGCAGGGGAAGGATACTGTAAAATCTCCAGTCAGAGGTGATATTTGCTGGTTCTCCGAACTACTCAAAATTTCCGCTACCGGTTCTCCAGAACTGGTCAGAACCTGCTGAATGCCACCTCTGCTCCCCACCAGCACCCAGATGAGCATAGATTAGCTCCAAGATTAACATCAGACCAACAATCAGGAAGTAAACAATACCCCCATGAAGGAACTGCCAAACAAGCTAGCAGTAAACAGCCCAACCAAAGAACCCCCAAGACCATCCCCACCAACACTGACCGGGCAAGAATATAAAATGTGAGCAAACCCCATCCCTTCCTGCACTGATGATGTTACCTAGTTGGGTAATGAAATGTCTTCAAGAAAGCAGACATCAGAGAGCACCAAGGACCCCCCCATCCTCCTTTTCTTCCTCCTCCTCCTCCTCTTCCTCCTCCTGCAAACTCTACTTCCTAGCACTGATGATTTTCCCTAGTTGGGTAATACAATGTCTGAAAGCAAATAACCAAACTCAGGGAGGACCAAGGACCCCACAGTCCTCCTCCTCCTCCTCCTCAACCCCATTCCCTTCTAGCACTGATGATGTTATCTAGTTAGGGTAATGAAACGTCTACCAGAAAACAACCAAGCAGGGAGCATCAAGAACCCCTCATGTCATCTCCATATCCAAATTTGAGGACAATGGAGGTCCCTCTGCAGAAACAAAACAGTGAAACAAAACAAGGAGGACAGAATGTGGCTATTTCTAGGCACCTGGCACCTAAGCAGAGATGTCAGGTGCTTCCCTCTGCTCAACCTGGCTTCCAGGTTCTTTGGAAGGACCAACAATCCAGATGGGGAAATGTGGTGGTGACTTTTGTCCCCTCCCTGACACGTGTTTGTCCATCTGATTACAGTGGTGTCACCTTCAGCTTCCTCTTCTCCTGGATTCTGATTCTCTTGGTCTCTGTCACCTTTCTGGTTGGAGGAAACATCCAAACGTTGGTGTGCAAACCTTGGGCCGATCAAGAGATACTCAGAGTGAGTTCGTCTGCATGAACACGAGGAAGGGTGTTTTAAGAGTTGTTGGCCTTATTTTAAAGGAGCCTTGCTTTTGTTGTTGTTGATGTTCTAGAAAGAGTGCAGAGAAGAGCAACAATGATGATTAGGGGGCTGGAGGCTAAAACATACGAAGAACACGGTTGCAGGAATTGGACATGCCCAGTCTAGTGAAGAGAAGAACTAAGGGAGAGGATAGGAGTGTTCCAATATTTGAGGGGCTGCCCCAAAGAAGAGGGGGGGGTCAACCTGTTTTCCAAAGCACTGGAAGATAAGACAAGACTCAATGGCTGGAAATTAATCAAGGAGAGGAGCAACCTAGGACTAAGGAGACATTTTTGGGGAAAGTGAGAACAATTAATCAGTAGAACTGTTTGCCTTCAGAAGTAGTGTCTGCTTCATCACTGGAGTTTTCCAGAAGAAATTGAACAGTCACTTGTCTAGAACAGGGGTCTCCAACCTGGGCAACTTTAAGACTTGTGGACTTCAACTCCCAGAATTCCTCAACCAGCAAAGCTATAGAATACTATAGTTCTTTCATCTTGGCCAACTCTGATCCACATCAGCTCCAAAACCTTTGAAAAAGTGGTGTGGGAATGGTTGCCCTTAGGAGAATCAGTCCACAAGTGTGTGCAGACAACTCCCCTCCCCCTTCTTTTTCTGTGTCACCCACCCACTTGCACACAATTAATTTTATCAGGTGCATAAATGTGTTGTCTTATAGTGCTGAAAGTCTGCACCTGTCTTTTAAAGAAATTCCAGGGAAAGATAAAACAAAAAGAGTACAGATAATCCTCAATTATGCTTATGACCACAACTGAGCCCAACAGTAGCAGGGATGGTTCCTCTCTTGATATTAACCTCTCCCAATGCATCACCATTGACCAGCAACCGTGTTTTCCACCGTGCCATTGATATTATTATTATTCTCTGTCCACAATATGAAGTCCCACCTGCCAGATCTTTAACTAGGGTTGGCCTCCTCCATGGGCATTGACTTCCTCCAAGAAGCCACCTTGTTGTAATGCATCGGCATAGTAGACATGTGGCTCTAGCATAGCCTTTTGCAACTGAGAGATGGAAATGTTGTCAATGCACAGATAATAATGCACAATTATTATTTTCATTATTCAGTTCATCGACACCCCCGGCAACCTCCCACCTTCCATGAATGCCTCTCAATACCTTGGCTTAAAGCAGAATCTCAACCTCACGTCGGCATATCAGTGAGTACCCCCTTTTTCCAAGGGCTCCTTTTGCTAAAGAGTTGGACTGGCTGGCCATCACCTCAATAGGGTTACAGAGTACACGATAAGAGAGTTGGAAGGGACCTTGGAGGTCTTCTATTCCAGCCCCCTGCCCAAGCAGGAGAACCTATACCACCCCAATCAAATGGTTCTCCAGTCCAAACTTCTGCAGGCAAGTTGTCCCACTGATTGATTTCACTCTCAGGAAATGTCTCCTTAATGCTAGGTTGTATCTCTCCTTCATGAGCTTCCGTCCACTGCTTCTCATCATGCCACCTTTAATCCTAGTACAAGATAACTAAACAGGCATCAGAGAACAAGGACAATTGTCTAGAATGGTATAGGGTCACCTGGTTGGACTAGAAGACCTCCAAAGTCCCTCCCAACTCTCTTATTCCATCCTGTTCAGTAGAGTGCTGGCCCTACAATCCTATGGTCTCAACCATCTTTGGTTTTAAAGCTCTGCCTTGCCAGATGGAGGACTTGCAGCTGAAAAGGAAGACGTGTTCTCCTTTTGCCCAACACCTGGCACCCCTAACCTGGCAGACTCCAAACATTAGGAGTGAAGGGGGCTGGGAATTGCGAGTCAACGCTATCTAGACATCTCGCCTAAATTGAGGCAGATTGCAAGCTGATGTGATGAGGGGGTTGGCTTCATTTCTTTCCATCTCCTTTCAGGCAGTGCAGGAACGGTGCGGGCCTCTGGGAAGTCCTGCAACTGAAGGACCAGTATAGCCTCGGCGAGCATCTCAGCGTTGCCAAGGTAACAAGCCTCTCGCTGCATCCTGGGTTGCCCCCTTTTGCAAAGCGAGGCTCGATTCGCCTGGGATCCTTCAGGAGGATCTTAGGAGACAAAAACACACCGTCAGGCTCAGCTCTACTTCAATACTTGGCTTCCAGAGGTTCTCCAGATGTTCCTATCAATATGGGAAGAAAACCACTGGATCACAGCCTCCTCACCTCTCAAATCAAGCAATACGTTAAATATACTGCAGGCTGGCCTCCTCTGTTCAATCAGATGAAAATAGTCAGAGAACTTGTTTTGCAGTATCGGCTGGGGTGGGGCTTGAATTTTAGGCAACGTTTCTCTTCATTATATTTAAATATACTTGGGGGGGCGGGGGCAGGATTAGCCTAGCCACCCTTTTTGTAAACTCCAAAAGCTCACCACCTTATTTACTTTTGCACTCTTAAAGAAGGTAGGTCACCTTTCCTTGGAGAATTCATTCCATCTTTATTACTGGAGAATTCTCAACGATTAATTTGCTCTCCCCATAAAAAAATAGGGGGAGATTTTAATATAATCTTTTCCTGTCCTGTGCTTAGAGGATCAGCGAGGCTCCTGTTCTGAATCTTAGGTACATAACATCAGATTAGGTGGCAGGCTTGTACAGCTTTTTTCTTTATAAAAGAAAAGTCATCGCACTATAAAAAAAGACGTTGAGACTAAAGAGTGCAGAGAAGAGCAACCAGGATGATTAGGGGAGGATTGAGGCTAAAACATAGGATGAACGGTTGCAGCAACGGGGCCTGGCTAGTCTAGGGAAGAGAAGGACCAGGGGAGACAGGAGAGCAGCCTTCCAATATTTGAAGGGAGAGGGAGAGAAAGGAAAGAAGGAAGGAAGGAAGGAGACAGAGTGAAAGAGAGAAAGAAAACAAAAAGGGATAGAAAGAGGGAGAGAGGAGAGAAGGAAAAAGGAAGGAAGGAGAGAAAGAAAGAGGGAGAGCAAGAGAGAGCAAGAGAGAGTGACTGGAGGCTGAAACATTCGATGAACCGTTGCAGGAACAGGGCCTGGCT